TCTCTCTCTCTCTCTCTCTCTCTCTCTCTCTCTCTCTCTCTCTCTCTCTCTCTCTCTCTCTCTCTCTCTCCGTGTGTGTGTGTGTGTGTGTGTGTATACACACACATACCCCTTAAAAACGAATCGAGCGCATCACTAATTTGTGCATGGTGCCCGCGGACCGCACGGCGCACCTCAAGTATCGTACTCACACGCGCTCCTCCCCCTCATCGTGTGAAGGCCCGAAGGACGACATTGATTACTTCCCTGAGGAAGGATGTACCACCCCTCACCCCTGGCTAAGCTAGCCTGTTGGATCTAATTTAGGCATAGTCTGGTCTCTTCTGCCCCTGCTTGCTAACTGTATCCTGCTTGCGTTGGTCTGGCTAGCTTGTTCCTCTCAGCTGCTTGGCTGTCGGCATTGCGTTAAGTGCTAGAACTGCTAGCTGGGCCATTCCTGTCCTTCCTGCTAAAGCCCTTAACCCTAGTATGAAGCTTATCTTGACTTTCCTGGCTCTTCCTGAAGCGTCCGTTTGCCCTCGGAACAGCATGAATTGGACTCTCCTTGGGGGATTTGTTCTGAGTGGGGAACTGTGATTTCTCTCTGCCCTCGGAACATCCTGGCCCTAGTATTTTAGGCCTGGTCTCTTTCTATACACTGACCTACTTTTCTATTTAAGATTCCTTGTCTAGTACTCTGACTGGGGAACTGTGATTTCTCTCTGCTAATTCATTAGGTTCACTATAGGACTCCTCCTAAGTCTATAAGATCTCTAGTAGGTTCCATTCCTATGGACACACCAGTAAGGTGGGACCTACTTCTGGGTGAGGTTTGAGCTGGGGATAATGTGCTGTGTCTCCATTGACTGAAGTGGATTCGACCGTGATATATTGAAGTTTTCCCTTCTCCTAGAAGTTCTTTTGTAAAGGCCTCTGTAATTGTATCCTTGTTTTCTATATTTTCTGTTATTTTCCTGCAGGTCTTCTCACAACCATACGGAACGACATCATCGCTCCGGATATACACTAGCCAGGAGTAGTACATATCGAGTCCGATGCCCGCAATGTGGCGATGATTTCTTCAGTGCTGCAGGCCTGCGTGTGCAACAGGCACGAGGTGCAGCTACCTGTGCAGCATTTGCAAGACCGCCGCAGCCACCTTGAGCACCAGTGCAGCTGATCAACCTCCGCTTCCTGCATCCGACCTGTCTATTCCGCATCCACCTGACCCTGCATGCTTCCCCGCCTCAAATGATAATGATCCACCTTCTGATCACCTGATGGAGCCCCCGACTCGAGATGATCTCTCTCCGGAGCGCGTAATAGATCCAATGGAGGTAATAAAGCTGGAGGAACCTGACAGAAATGGTCAAGACCGCAATGAATCTCCGCCTGCCGTGCAATCTGCAGAATTGGATGAACCTCCCCCTGCCGCACAACCTGCAGAATCAGATGATGTCATAGTGCTACAGCGAGGCCATTGTGGGTACTATGCCATTAATGTATGCCTCCTTCCCTACAATTGCAACCCTTATACTCTTTCTGATTTTTCAGACGTTGTCCACTGGATAGAAGAAGAGAACCGTGCCGTCTGCGCAGACGACAACAGTATTTCACCTGGCGTGGACGTAGCAGTCATGTCTATGGCATTTATGTGTAGGTGACTACAACTCCAGCCTGCTCCCCAAATTCACGTGCCAGGCATGGACCCTAATATTCGGGCATACATCTTACATCGTCCAGGTCATTTCAGTGCTCTCACCTTCGCGGATAACTCACGGACCTTATGGGACAATGACGGTAGGGTGCACGCAGCGGGAAATATCAACTCTTTCTATCACCAAGCAGTAGAACATCACTCGGTCTGGCTCGTCCATCAGGAACAGGATGTCGATGAGCATT